GGTAGGATAAAAATCAACACAGCAAGTGAGGGGAGGGCTCAGGGTGGAATTTCAGGGATCAACCAGAAGAAAACTATGATTATCTGGGGGCTGAGATGTTGAGACACCCAAATCTTATACCTCCTGGGAAACTGTGTACTTTGTGCATCTACCTTGTCTGGACAATTCTTTTTGAAGATACATATCACACACTCTTGGAGGGCATTAGCTAGGGCTTGTCCATTAGTCAATCAATAAGTGTATTCTTTATTATCTTCTGTACATCCCATTAAGTAATATATAGAGACTCGGGCTGTCTCTTTCCTCTGACCCCCCAGAGACTGCCCCTGAAATCAGCACTTCATCCACGCCATTTCCTCAGTTGAATGAATTGACCCCATCTAGATGGGAATGTCTCTCTGCCTCCCTAGCCCATGTTAAAGTCTGGGAGCAAAGTGATTGTAGTTCACCCTCTGCTATTGTGAATGTCTTCCCCACCTCAATTGTGCCTCCAGATACTTTCCCTATTGGATTTAAGTGAGCAAGTCAATAAATTGGAAGGATAAAGCCAAGGACTAACTTTCAAAATATTTTAACCACTCTTCCCTGCTGTCACCTTTGTTCCCATGTTTATCACCCCTCTCATTTAAATGTTTATAAAAATATTCACTGTAGTTAGAATTTTAGGAAGAAGTGGACTTCATGTATATTTAAATCTGACATGTTTAACTGGACTTATCTTCACCTGACTCTAAGAGATTAAGAACTTATATAAGGCCAGTATAGCTCAGTATGTGGCATGGCTAGAATTTCAACTCTCTAAAAAGGAAAGAAGACCAAACACCAAGGATGTTAAACCAGTCAATCCTAAAGAAAATCAACCCTGAATATTCATTGGAAGGACTGATGCTGAAGCTTCAATACTTTGGCTACCTGATGTGAAGAGCCAGCTTTTTGGAAAAGACCCTGATGCTGGGAAAGATTGAGGGCAGGAGAAGAAGGGGGCCATAGAGGATGAGACGGTTGGATGGCATCACCGACTCGATGGACATGAGTTTGAAAAAACTCCGGGAGATAGTGAAGGACATGGAAGCCTGGCATGCTGCAGTCTATGGGCTCGCAGAGTTCGACACGACTGAGCGACTGGACAACAACAAGGAAAGAAAAGGAAGATAAAGAAATTAGGGCTGAGATTGTGCATGTGTCCGGTTAGAGAATGATGGGTAATGGAGGGATGAGCTGGTCGAAGGTGCTGCTTTGAAACGTGGAATAGAGAGGGAGCAGCAGCAGGTAGTGTCCTTAGACAGTGATTCCACCTGACTTCTTCCTTTCATCTGTTTCTCTGTCCATCTTTTCTTTCTCTTCTACTTCCTTCCCTCGTGAGAGGACTGAAGCTAAATCCTGGACACAGTGTCTCATGAGACAGAGTTTTGTGCCTGTCTTCAGAGAGATCACAGTTTAATGGGATTAAACAACACTTATAGGGCAGCTCACTCAGGGCACAGAGGAGGGATAGAAATCTAGCCTAATTTTGAGCAACAAAACAGTTGACTCTTCTGACTCCGCCAGAGTTCCTGTCTTTGGACTCATTTGTCCTTCAGGTCCATATCATCTGTCAGCCCAGTCATCATTGTTAGCATTGTAACTATTTATAGTTGTTGTTTAGTCGCTAAGTCATATCTGATTCTTTGCAACCCCATGGACTGTAGCCTGCCAGGTTCCTGTGTTCATGGGATTTCCCAAGCAAGAATACTGGATCGGGTTGCCATTTCCTTCTCCAGGGGATCTTCCCAACCCTGGAATCGAACACTCATCTGCTACTTTGCTCCAGGTATAGTCTACTGCTTGCCTGGTACCACAGTAAACACAGTACACACAGACTACACACAGTATGTGTGTAGCTTATTTAATTCTCAACAACAGTCTGACAAGACAATTATTACCAGCCTGAGAAAAGTGATGTTTAGAGATTATGCAAATCATCCGAAGTCACCAATCAGGAGGCCTTCCTGGTCTGCCCTCTTCCTCTGACATTTTAGATGTGCCTGCCTAGTACCCAAAGAAGGTCATTGTCACCATGCTCAGCCATCACAAATTTAAACATTCTGAAACGCATGTATATTTCTAGACTGTGTGCTTCTGGGAACCATTCCATTTTTATCCGTGTGTGCCTAATGTCTAACTCAATATTTGCACAGGATTTAGAACTCATTAAATAAATAATTGCTTACACAAAGCAAAGCCAGGATTTGAACCCAGATTTTTCTAACTGCAAAGCTCATGCCTTTCCATTGTATGACATTGTGCTACATTCTCTCTCCTCGCTGCTCCGTCTCCCCCCTATAAATGAGGGTTCGCCTTTCTCTCCCGATTACCGTCTGTCCCATAAAAGCTAAGTCCCAACTGACAGTTATTTTCCCCTCTCTCTGGGAAGACTGGTGATTAAACCAAAAAGCACAGCCACATCTGTTTTAAAACCAAATAAATGCCTTTTGGAAAAAGCCCTCATTGCCTTCAGATGCAGTCGCAGCACACTTGTGAGCATCAAAATGAACTTTTTGTTATAAATATTAACTACGTTATGAAAAAATAAAAAATAAATATTAACTACATTATGGACAGAGATGTAGGATTTCATCTGTTCGGTGGGGTTTTCACTTAAGTCGAATCTTTTGAAACCAGAGCCACAAATCACTGTTCCTATTGGCCATGCATGGAAATATCTTGCTTCAGCAGAACCCTGTGTCCAATGACACCTGCTATGAACCTGCAATCTGTCTACATAGAACCACAGAAGGCAGCACAGATAAGCTATGGTGCGGACTTGACTCATCAGCAGTCAATCTCGAGGTTGCCTTTTCTGGAACACTGCCAGTTCACAGGAGCTTGAAACTCAGGTGAAAACAGCAATTGGACCTGGTGCTGGAATGAAGACACTGTTGTCTCCTCCCATTCTTCACCAGGTCCTTTTTCTTTGCCAGGATTTTAAATGCCTGCTTTTGAAGGCAGAATCAAAGAGAGACAGACCTGGAGTCTGGGGACACAGAGGCCTAATATGTTGGCTGTGCATGTGAAAACTGGAACCTTGACAAGTATGAAGCATCCGAATCCTAGATCTCTATTTCCTTGTCTGTGAAATAAGACAGTACTGCAAAGACTAAATAAGGAACACATGTAAAACAGTAGTGCCCTTTGGCTAGACAGTGGTCTGGCAAAGACTCTTCATTCCTCTTGAAAGGAGATGAAGGATCACACACGGAAATGCCATGCGCGTGTGCATGCTTAGTCGTGTCTGACTCTCTGCGACGCCATGGACTGGAGCCCCCCAGGCTCGTCTGTCCATGGGAGCTCCCAGGCAAGGATACTGGAGTGGCTCGCCATTTCCTGCTCCAGATGAGCTTGGACATTGTGACAAGTTCAAGGTGCAGTAAGCAATATCACTCTCTATTTTAAAAGCATTTTACAGCAATTATATCTATTCTTTCTATATCCTTGATGGCAAGTTTGGCTTTCTAAGCTGTACTTTCTCCTTGAGGACACAAAGATAAAAAGATTAGTTCGGAACATCAATGGCAGCAACTAGATTGGAATCCAGAACATTTATCATCCATGATAGCTGAATCTTATGGTCTTTACTCAAGCAGAATGACTACAGACAATCTGAATAATGACTACACTAAAAACGTCATCAGATCAGGCTCATAAATTATGTTGTAATAGAATATTATATGTTGGCCACACTAAAAGACAAATATCAATCTTATGGTTTGTATTTAAGAATAAGTTAACAATTTCATTCACCCATTGATGGAAATGATTGAGAACTAGTCCTCCAACTTAGATTTTTTTTTTTTTTAAGTGGGAATAGAGTCAAACTTGGACTTGCCTGGTGGCTCAGATGGTAAAGCGTCTGCCTGCAATGCAGGAGCCCTGGGTTCAATCCCTGTGTTGGGAAGATCTCCTGGAGAAGGCAATGGCACCCCCCTCCAGTATTCTCGCCTGGAAAATCCCATGGATGGAGGAGCCTGGTAGGCTGCAGCCGATGGGGTCACAAAGACTCGGACACGACTGAGGGACTTCACTTTCAGAGTCAAACTCAGAAGTATGTACTGTCTTCCCCAGTGCCTCAGGGGTAAAGAATCCACCTGAAATGCAGGAGATGCAGGAGACGTATGTTCGATCCCTGGTTTGGGATGATCCTCTTGGGGAGGGCATAGCAACCCATTCAAGTATTTTTGCCTGGGAAATCCCATGGACAGAGGAGCCTGGTGGGCTACAGTCCATAAAGTTGCAAAGAGTTGGATAAGACTGAGCACAGAACACAGAAGTTATGTACAAGGGAAAAAGAAAATTGTATCAAATATAAGTTTCTGGGTACAAAACAATAAACTTCTAATGATAGATCTTGGGAAATTCCACAAGTCTTCATTTAAATGAGAAAGTGATCAAGTTGCTTTAATATCTGACCAGTTAGCTTTTCTCCCAAATGGCCAAACTTATGCTGAATTTAACGAGTTTAGTATTTCATGTTTTGTTTTCACAACCGCTTTATCTAAAAAAATCCCACATTAGAAAAACAACAACAGACCAGTTATCCAGACAGGCTCAGCAGCTGGAAATTTTGTTGAAATGCAATTGACTCCCCATTCTTCTGTCAACAGATGTAAAGCAGGAAGACAGTGTACAACATTGTACAAAAATCATTGGCTAAAGATTACAAAGAGCCTCAAAGAATGCAAATAATAAAACTCCTCTGTAACATAATGATCTTTCCACCATGCTTTTGTCCCATCCTTTTTCAGTCCCACAGAAAGGAATAAAAAAGGTAGTGTCCACCACTGTAGGTGCCCCAGTTATAATTTTTGCAATGAAAGATCATGAACTGTGTCATAATATAGAGGCCTTTAATTATAGTCATTTAACACATTGTAACTCACCAGTGATTTTTGCATTCAGTGTGTTTCAAACAGCTGAGCTTTAAGTATGTGGAGATTTGTTCATCACTTATTTATTATCCACAGGCCTCTCCAGCTGCACAGCCTAAGTACGGTTTTCCTACCAAGTTTAATGACTCCTTGGAAGCAAGATGGAACCAAGGAAACAGCAGTGAAGGAGAACACCCAGCTGGAGAGGGAGTTAGCCCAGGTATGAAAGTGGGTGGGACCGTGAATAAGGGTGAAAGAAAGCAGGCAGCAAGCCTCATGGAAGGTGGGCTGAAAGTCCTGTGAGTTTTTGTCTCTTATCTTGGGCTCCTGGAGTCTGTGCAGGTTGGGGAACTCCGAGGGTACTTTCTACAGATAAACCCCGCCCACCTCCCGCACGGGTGTGAATTGCATGGTGAGACAACCCTCTTGCCTCCTGACTTGACCGTCCCTGTGTTGAGGCCATCCTTTAGCAGTGTTGTAGCCACGCATTCCAGGAAACAAACTCACTCAGAAGGACAATGCAGATAGTGGAGTGCAGTTTATTACACTGGTGGGCCCAAGGCAGAGTCTCCTCTTAGCCAAGGACCCTGACCAGTTTTTGTGAAAACCTTATATACCCTAGTGTATAAGGTTCCCTGAAACTAGTCTGAACAAAGGAAAAAGAAAGATGCAATCAAAGTTAAACCCCCATCATATGCCTTAAGCCTAGGTAGTTAACGGTGGACAATTGTCAATAGGCCTGTGGTCATACCCCAATAAGTATAATAGAATGTATGAGTCTATTCGGTTACACAGATAATTAGGGTATTTTTTAGGTGATGGAGAGCCCTGGGGCTCTTCCTTCCGGGGGCCTGGTTTTCCAGTTGGTCTGTCGTTTCCATAGATACTGGGCATATAGCTCAAAGTCCACAGTCCAGGCCAAGATGGAGTCCTGCTTTCAAGATAGAGCCTGTTCTGTTTCCTCTTTCAGCGGCAGTAGGACAGGGAAGGCCGTTATCCCCCAGAGGGGAACAATGTTACCCAAGAGGGACATAAACTCTCCCTGAATGTCCCTCTATTTTTTTCTTTTCTTTTTAAAAAATATTTATTTATTTGGCTGTGCCAGGTCTCAGCTCTGGCATGCGATCTCTCAGTTGCAGCATGTGTGATCTAATTCCTTGATCAGGAATTGAACCTGGGCTCCGTGCAATGGGAGTTGGCATCTTAGCCACTGGACCACCAGGAAAGTCCTCCCTCTATTTTTTTCTGAAATATATTTCCCTCCTTGTCACAAAAATGAAGAAAGTTCTCTCGGCAATTTAAAAATAGGTAAGCAAAAAAGGAGGAGAAGAAGAAAAGGAGATAAGGAAGCAGAGTAGAAAAAGAGAGAGAAAAGGTACGAGAAATTACATTAATGCCACACCTCAGACAAAAGCACTGTTAGCCCCTCAAGCCCTTATTCTTAGAGAGAGCAGACTCCATGCACATGTATTATCATTCCCTTATGACACAGCCCTGTGGGGGTTTCACTACCTAGGAGGCTATGCCTGCTTTAAATCTTCCTGATATGTATTACAAAATTGTCCTCTAGAAATCTAGTTATTTTATACTTGTATCAGAAGAACAGGAGTGACCATTTCCTGACACATTTGCTTACAGAGAATGTTATATTTAACTTGCTAATTTGAGAGCTGGAAGCCAATTCCTAGTCGTTTGACTTCAAGTTACTTGAACATGCCCTTAAATTTCTGCCTCCCCTTTTCCATCCTCTTGGGGGTTGGTCCTGGGGAGATTCTCTGAATTTCCACCCCCCTTTCTCTCAGGCTGACACTTTCAGAGAGGATGTTCCTGCAGAATGAACCGGAAACCAGAGGAAACTGTTATAGAAAATTAAAAGAACATAACAAATTTAAAGTCTGAAGACAAAGCTGTTCTGTCATTGCTTATCTCTAGGCGGAGAGAAATAAGAGCTTGGGAAGGCCGGGAGAAAGCTCTCAGAGCTTGTGTTCAGACAAAGTATGTGCAGTTTCTGCTTTCAGTTCCTTGGTGAAAGCAAGTAACATGATATCCACGGGGCAGAGATGTTTAATTCTTTCAGAGGGAGACATCCATAGGAAGGGGTGTATGGGGAGGGGAATCAGTACTTTGAAATATATTATCCACTACATAGTATACAGGCGTCTAGAACTTTTGTTCTTGCATATTTTGTTAAGACCTGGTCGATTCACAGAAAATGTGATGACCCTAATATTACTCTTGGGGAAACCAGGACTCAGAGAATGAAGAAGCACCCACATTGCCTGGGAGAGTCCTAACCAGTCTGCAATTATGTTAATTATGTTGTTCCTTCTTGGTTTTTTTTTTTTTCTCTTCTCTCCCAAGCCCAGGCTTTTGATTCACCTTCTGATGCTTTATGATATCCTCTGATAACAAGCTCTCAGTATTACACTCAGGCTTTTCTATGGAATGTGTGCTCAGTTGCGTAGTAGTATCTTTGTGGTCCCAGGGACTGGAGCCTGCCAGGCTCCTCTGTCCATGGAATTTTCCAGGCAAGAATACAGGAGTGGATTGCCATCTCCTTCTCCAGGAGATCTTCATGGACCAGGAATTAAACCCATGTTTCTTGCATCTCCTGCACTGGCAGAAGGATTCTTTATTACTGAGCTACTCAGGAAGCCCCCTTTCAAAGAAAGGGGTGCAAATAGAAAGGAAACCCAGCCTTGTGTGTCTAGTTGAGAAGGCCTTGTATTTAACAGCTTTTAGATAGCATATTAAAAAGCAGAGACATTACTGTGCCAACAAAGGTACATCTAGTCAAAGCTATGGTTTTTCCAGTAGTCATGTATGGATGTGAGAGTTGGATCATAAAGAGAGTTGAGAACTGAAGAATTGATGCTTTTGAACTGTGGTGTTAGAGAAGACTCTTGAGAGTCCCTTGGACTGCAAGGAGATCCAACCAGTCCATCCGGAAGGAAATCAGTCCTGAAAATTCATTGGGAAGCACTGATGCTGAAGCTGAAACTCCAATACTTTGGTTACCTGATGCAAAGAACTGGCTCATTGGAAAAGACCCTGATGCTGGGAAAGATTGAAGGCAGGAGGAGAAGGGGATGAAAGAGGATGAGATGGTTGGATGGCATCACCAACTTGATGGACATGAGTTTGAGCAAGTTTTAGGAGTTGGTGATGGACAGGGAAGCCTGGTGTGCTGCAGTCCATGAAGTCACAAAGAGTCGGACAGGACTGAGCAACTGAACTGAACAGACCATTAATATCTCATTTCTTAGAAGAAAATTGAAGTGTTCAGCTGGGAGGTCTTTCTGTTCCTTTTTGGACTCGGCCTCCATCTGGTACTGATGGAACGAGACTTTAACATGGAATTAAATTCAGGCCTCCTGAGTCAACCTCATCCTCTCCTCATCTTAGAGAGAAATGGACCAAAATCCAGAATTAAGAAGCATGTGAGAACCAGACATTACACACCATTCAATGAATATCTGCTTTGTTAAAAAGGGTGTGTGTGTGTGTATGTTTGCTAAGTCATGTCTGACTCTTTGTGACCCTATGGGCTGTGGCCCATCATGCTCCTCTGTCCAAAAGGATTCTCCAGGCAAGAATATTGAAGTGGGTTTCCATGCCCTCCTCCGGGGGATCTTCCCGACCCAGGGATGGAACCTGTGTCTCTTTTATCTCCTGAATTGGCAGGTATGTTCTCTACCATTAGCAACACCTGGGAAGCCGCATCAAAAAGGGTACCTCAAGGTTTTTTTTGGCATAATCCTAATGTCTCTTTGAGAATGGGATGATGATCAAGGTAAAAAAAAAATAGGGTGTGACTTGAAATGGAATAGAATGTGCCTGAGACAAAGTTTGGAGATGCTAAATAGCCCTTTTTGAAATGTCTGTGGGCAGCAAATGTGCAAAATAAGAGATTTTTTTTTTCTTTTGGCAAGTGAGGCTTTGATCCTGTAACCTTCATCCATATTTAACAGCAGTTGATTTCAATTGATTTCCCAAACCTTCAACCTCATTTAACTTACCCCTATTTACCAAAAACAAACTCCCCATTCAAGCTGGAAGAACGTGAGCGAAAAATAGGCTGAAAAAGCAGGAATCATGTAATAATGATCCAGGAAGCAGTGAAAGCCTTGCAGCTATGATCACCAAGGGAAATCTCGAAATAATGGAACGACTATCCATCTTTTTGGGTATGCCTGCATTACGCCACGTACTGCTTATAAAACACTGAACACTTTCTGAAGCTCCAGAGAAAGATGGTCAAACGTGTCTTTACTTTATTAAATTTTCTGTTTTCAGTTTTATCTCTGCGTGATGTTTACCATCAGAGAAAAGTAACATCATTTTCAAGGAACACCCAGGGGAGGGTGGTTGTTTCTCTTGGAGACCAGGAATGCTCACCAGTCAAGTGTGGTGTCAGACATTGAAATAAACAAGGGATCAAAGGGAATATTCATCCAATTTTAAATGTTTTGAAGAAGACTATTCCCTTGCTGAATTGCTTGGTAATGAGGTAAGCGGCAAATAAATAAGAAAAAAATGTACTGAGGAGCAAGAGTTAAAGAAATTGCACAAAAAGCAGGTACGGATAGATGCTATGATGACGTATATGCTGGCTTCAAGTAGTCAGCTTAATTCTAACGTCCTCGTCGACTTTTTAGAGTTCAAGTGGCAATTTTGTGTTTGCACAGCACCCTGGAGACTCAGACTTCTTGTGAGCTTGTCATGTGCTTACCTGATTCTGTTGGTAGAAACTTTCTCATGAATGTTGAAACTTAGGGGTGAAACTGCCTTTAAAGACATTAAATTAGATTTTTACTACTTCTTGATGTTCATTCCCTCATTAAAATTTTTAATAGATTTTTAAAATATTCACTTCCTCATTAAATATTTTTGGGGGGAAGTGGACTATTTTTTAAGTCATTGACTTTGTTACCATATTGCTTCTGTCTTATGTTTTTTAGGCCACAAGGCATGTGGGATCTTAGCTGTCCACCCAGGGACTGAACCCGCATCTCTTGCTCTGGAAGACAAAGACTTAGTCACTGTACCGCCAGGGAAGTCCCTACTACTTCGTTTGCATAAAAGCAGAAATATTATAGCTTCTTGTGGTAACTACTGTAGGATACAAATCTTTCTCCCAAATGCTCTTTTTTTTATCTAAAACTGCCAACCTAGCTATCATGTTTAATCTTCACCTATGCTGTTCTTGTTTCCACTTCAGCTTCACAGTCAGAGAAGCTTAGCATTGCCCTCTTCTACAACCACACACACAGACACACACACTCACTACCATTGAGTCTAGGAAGGTCACAGTAACATTATTCCATTTTCTTTGTACCCCTCTGTAGCTCATGTTCCATCATGTATCTTAGAAGTCTGCGTACGTGATATGTCTCTCTCTCACCAAGAAGGCACTATGCTGTAGTGATTTATAGCAAGGCTAGCAAGTGTTTTCTGTGAAGGGCCAGGCAGTAAGTGTTTTAAACATTGCAGGCCATGTAGATGACTTTTCAGCTCAGCCACTGTAATGCAAAAGCAGTCAGAGATGGCGTGTAATCTAATGTGCATGTCTGTGTTCCAATAAAACTTTATGTACGCAAAAGCAGGGAGCTGAGAGTGGCCTAAGGGTTTGCTGACGCTTGGCTCAGAGTGTGGACTTTGGAATCACACTTTCTCACTTTCTGGCTCTGTGCCTTTGGGCAAGTAACGAACTCCTCAGTTTCCTCATCTTCAAAAGAACAAAGATCACACTGACTTGATAGGGTTGTTTGGGAGGCTAAAGCAGCTGATACGCATAAAGACTGATGCTTGCCTGTGATCTCAGATGGTCTCTGCCTATTAGGAACTCCTGATGTTGATGACAGTTACTAGCTGGTTCCACCTGTGATAGGTTCAGTGTGCATTCATGTATCATCCACTCACACCAAATATACTGACCCTCTGAAGCTCTCTAGGCAAGTTGTTAAACATTGAAATAAAATAATTGAAATTCCCTATCAGTATTAAATATCCACTATGTGCCAGACATCAGACGCAATGTTTTTTATGTAATGATCTCATTTCATACTAATCATCCTGGGGCAGGGGAACAGAGGAGGAAATGAGATTCAAATCATGTCAGTGACTCAGCTCAGGTGATAGGTAGGGGATGGAGAAGAGGTCTGAGTCCAGACGCCCAGTGCTCACTGGCCACCCTGGGCTGCCTGCTCCGTGTATCAGGAACGGTCCCTTCCCTTAGGAAGCTCTGCCCAGCACTGCCTGACCCACACTTATCTCCTTGCTTTCTCCTCCTCTCAAGATTCGACTGAGAGAAGAAAATTATTCTCTTGGGACCAGAGAATTAAAAACAAAAGCCCATGAGCAGCCTAGTCATTAAAGTATTAAGTTTCACATCGATCCCAACCTGGGGCTAATAGAGCTTTTCAGGATGCACCCGCCAACCTCAGCACCACCCCCTTTCTGTCCCAAGGCCTTGTCATACCTAGTGGATATGTCAGCCAGTGATTACCAGTTTCCATTTGGAAAACAGTACATCTGAGATTTTAAAATTCCTTGACACTTGGGGATGAGTCAGCAAATTTTGACTTTTAAGGCCAGCCGTGGGGGACTCTCAGAATCACGTTTTCCACTTTCAGGAATAGACCTGTGTACTGTGAGGATTGATTTGTCATTGCCTGGTTTTACCTTTCTGCCTAGAAAATAAAGATAATCATGTCCCTTTCTTGATTTCAGCCAAGTCAGAAAGCAGTAAGCGGCAGGGCCATTTTGTGGGAAAAACCACCAGACTCAGGGGACTCTGTGTTTTAGATGTGCCAGCTCGAGCCAATTTACACAGGACACTGTCATCTCTCAGCGACCCCACTGTCGCTTTCATAAAGCCACAGTCACACAGGGGTGTGCATGAGGACAGGTGAGGAATGAACAATGCAATGGCTTTGGGATAAAGTATGGCATTGGTACTTTCAGAAAGTGGACTTTGGGTGAGATCTGTCATAAAATTGTGCAGATATGCAGAAGTCTGTTTGCTTCTCTTACGTAAGTAAGGACTATATTGCTCTACAGTTGGGTGCGCTAGTTAAAAAGAAAGAAAAAGAAATAGGGACTAGGTATGAAATAGAGCCTCAACCACTCTTACCATCGCTCTTAAAGATTAACCACTTCCTCGGGCACCTAACTGAACAAAACAGAGATAACCAAAAAAGTGGCCTTTTCTGTAGAAGTCAGGTGACATCAGTCTGTTAGAAGCTGTTTCAAACAGAAAGCTTGTTTCTTCATCTTGGAATTCTGTAAGCACCCCCTCTCTCAGGTTGGGTCTAAGAAAAGATTAGGATGCTGCCAAACTGTCTAACCTAGACTCAGGGATTCATGACATGAAGTGCAGGAGATAGGTTCGCTCACACGCACACCCAAAGGGAGAAGCACGGGACACAGGTCAGGAGAGAAAATTTGGTGGCAGGTGGTCACATCCCAGTGTCTAGATCTGCTTTTCTAAATAAATACATTTTCTATTCGCTCTCAGAAAAATTGATTTAAATAGGTAGCTTTTTTTTTTTTTTAAATCATGCTTTATGTTTTAAAACATTGACGAGGAAGCCAAGGAGGACCAGGAAAATTATCTCCAATCACGATTCGGAAGCACAGCCCAGATGTGGGATCTCCAGAGGCCAGTGCTGACCCCAGGATGGCGGGTGTGGTGGGAACAGTGCAAATTCAGTTTGATGCTGGAATTTGGGATGTTGACGGTAACTCCCTGCAGGAAGCTGAAACTGGTCCCTGGGAGCCTGGCACAGACCTAGCTATATGGAAGTGAAATAAAGCCGAGCTCTGTTTGGAGTTCTGGCTCCATCCCTCTGGTCTCAAGGGCCTCCCCTGTGAAATAAGGTGATGGCCTCAGAAGAGCACTTTTAAACCCTGTTCTCAGAGTACCAAGCAGTGCTTCTTGTTTTATGAACAGGAGACTCTGCTGAGGGTTTTAGTAAAATGAAGATTCCCAGGCTCTCTTCTGGGACTCTGATCTGGTGGGCTGCAAGTGGGGAGGGGTGGGGTATTTGCAGAGGGCAGAAGTCTGGGACTCCATAAGGAACCTAGGACCTACTTTGACAAGTGTGGCTTTGAGACAGGCTGGGACCTGGGACTTTTGCTGCAGTGCTTGCACCTGGACAAATGTTTCCTCCTCCAGCAATAGAATACAAAGAAACTAGAAGGGACAAAGGGCTTCCCTGATGGCTGCAGTAAAGAATCTGCCTGCAATGCAGGAGACAAGGGTTCAATCCCTGGGTCGGGAAGATCCTCTGAAGAAGGAAATGGCTACCACTTCAATATTCTTACCTGGGAAATCCTATGGTATGGACGGGTTGCAGTCCATAGAATTGCAAAGAGTCAGACATGACTAAAGTGATTGAGCACACACACACGCACACAAGGGACTGAAAATAACTATTAATATGTGCATGTGCAGTTGGAGACAGATTACAGACAAAGATATACAAAAAGACCAAAAAACCCACTTCTGAAGAGCTGGGAACAAATGCAGGGTACTGCTCCTCCCCCCGGACAAGACGCCACAAAGAGGAAGGGAGACCACCTAAGCCACCCCTTCGGCCAGCTCCCTCGACACACCCCTACTTTCACCCCATATAAGGAACCGGCTCACTCTGCCTTGGGGAGGAAGCAAGGGAACCAGTTACTGTTCTTGATCCTTCTGCTCCAGCAAAGCCTGGCTGGAGTTTCTTGTCTGGCCTCTGATCAGTTTCTATCGGTTGGGGAAGACCAAGAACTCTAGTTTGTACCAGCTTTCCATTGCTCCTTGCCAAAGTTTACTTCATTCGCCTTGCATTTTCAACTTTTCTCTCTCTCCTGTTCCACTTGCTTCCAAATAATCTCAAGTCATCTTCTCCATCTCAAGAGAATTATGGGCAGGAAACTCAGGAGCAGGGCCCTGTATATTTGTCTTTATAGGACATTGACTGCGAATGCATAGGAAGCAATACGTACTTGCTGGGTTGAAGCCTTCACGTTTCCACATATATTATCAATGTATCTGAAATTTATATCCTAATTAAAGACTCACCTTTGGCTAAGAATCTGTTAACGGGGGAAGGCTCATGTCAAATTCATTAGTGAGGGTCATTCTGCTGTCAACTTTATTTGCTCATCTGAACTGAGGTTACCTTAGTTTTATGCCATCATTACTATTTGTCAATGAATAATAATTAGCTTGAATTTCACAGCTATGTGAGATTGCATTTTCTCTAATAATTGTTACAATTGATATTTACACAAGTTTTTTATTCCTACAACAGTCCTGTACTAATTAACATTTTTTTTATACTAATAGTTGTCATGAAGTCAAAGTTCCCAGGGTAACTCCTGATAAGAATCATTTGCGCTTGTACTTCCAATGTGCACTTGACCTTGGGAGCACTCAGGACAGGAAGCTCAGATCCCCTAGGACAGCGGAGGTATTTGTCAACGGGGGAGAAAGCTACTCGAAGAGGTGAGTTTTGAATTGCAATTTAAAGTGGGGGAGACACTCAGAGTCACTGGCCTGACCCCCAGGAGGAGCAGCTCGGAGCCCTCCTGGAGAAATGGCACCATCACTCAGATGATGGCTGTTCTCATTGAATCCGTGACAGTGACCTTTCACAAACCTCTGATTGCTAGGCTGCTTCCACACGTCTGCTTCTGAGCGCCTTATAGACCTGTTCACAGCCTATTCCCTCATTTTGCAGAAAAGCTCCCCCACTTCTGCTCCCAGCCCTTCCGGGTTCTTTCTGATGTGTCTGTGACTCTGTGACAACCTGGTCACCAGGTGTCCATCCATGGGTGGACCCTCCCTCTGCCTGGGACTGACACCTGGGCCAGGGGTTTGGAGGGGGGTGGGGAAGGGCTCCTGGCTCAGGACACAGTTTCCCTCATCCCACCCTCTGCTGAGCTTGGGTCTGTGGAGGCTCCTATGGCCAATGACCACATCTCACCCTTCTTGTCATTTCAAGTCATCAGGTTGCTGTTGTTTAGTTGCTAGGTCATGTCTGACTCTTTACAATCCCATGGACTATAGCCTGCCAGACTCCTCTGTCCATGGGGTTTCTCAGGCAAGAATACTGGAGGGAGTAGTTATTCCCTTCTCCAGGGGACCTTTCCACCCAGGGATGGAACCCA